CTTTTGGAGAACATTTTTAGCTGAAGGTTGAACTTTTTTTCAAAAAAACTCAAAGGCAGTTTCCTAGAATTTAATGTCATTAAGTATTTGGCTGAATACAAATATTTTGAAGAAATCGTTCTTTGTAGGCCAACAGTATGAAGGTGTGATTCATTTATCTAGTGAGGTCAATGAACAAGCTCCGGACAGATGTTGTTCAGCATTGGACCAGTATCTAGACTTCTAAGATTTTGAATTTATTGTACAGACATATATCTATGTATGTGTCTTATTTTGTATATATATATATAAAATCTCATCTGTGTCTAGATCTGACAAACTTCTAATTTTAGCTTTCTCTTCGTATTTCTGGGGTTAATTTCACTTTTGGGTCGCTGAATGCCTCATATTTGAGATATGAGTGGTCATTTCTCATAGGGGCAATCAGTGGAAATCACAGCTCTTTCTTGCTCACAGCAGGCTTTGGACCTTATGATCCTTGAGGTTAATTGCTGTTACCACCAGAAAGACAGATAGATCATTCCCTGTCATTTGGTTCACTCTGGAAACAGTAACATCCACTAACTAGGTAAATTAAGTAATTTTAGTCTACTGCAGAGGATGTGGATTTTTATAGAGTAAAGAGCACAAGCGAACTTTCTTGCTCCAAAGCTCAGGAAGCGAGAAGAAGCCAGGAGTACTTCAGATGCTCTCACAGAGCTCTCTCAGGCTCCTGTTTCCTAATGCTCTTCTCAGAGGAAGTTTCTGTACAGTTCCTCTCATCCTTTTACCCACTCACACTACATCTATACCACTAAATAAAAAGGGTCCAGAAAAAATGCTTACACACAACACCCTTGGTCATCCGTGTTGCTTAATGGTTGGTTCACTTCCCAGTCCTGTTTTGGACTACTCCAGCTACTGCTTCCCCAGTGAAAACCTGAGTGTGACTCAAGGAGAAGTGTACTTTATAGACGGTTAGCAAGAGGTAGTACAGTGGGGCTGCACCATTTAGCTTCTTCTGCCCTCCAGAGTGGCCCATCTCATTCCCAGTAAGCTTTGCACTCATGAATCAGTGGTCTGTCCTTATGCTGTCTCCCAGGGCATGTGGTGCATCCTTGCATTCATGCTACCAGAATGCCATTCTCTGGGCTGCAGCGTCAGTGTGAGCTGTGTGGCAGAGCTGCAACCAGTCCCTACAGCAGCAGCTGGCACTGTCAGACAGCATCAGTGTGTGGCCGGTCTGGCAGTGAGTATGGACTTGATCTCCTGGCCTCTGTGTAGCCCAGATGAGTGGAAAAGGGGAGTAATCTAAAGGGAAGTATTGTCTCTTCGTAGTAAGTGCCTTCTGATTAAGAACAGAGACCATGCTCCCCGGAAAATGTAGGTTTGTCTCCAATCTTTAGAAAAACAATTAGAATATTTCAGTTTAAAGCACTGTCTTGACTTCACACTTGTCTGTTTTGCAGTAACGTAGAAGACTCTGTGGGGAAATGTCCTTGTGGGACAGTCATGTTACTTTATGAAGGAAGCCGTAGAGATTCCCTGGCTTTGAGATGAGTAAACAAACTTCAGAAATCACACACTACAGTGTGTTTGCCCAGAGGCAACTCTAACTAACCACCCAGTGCTTTCAGTGCCTGGGCTTCTGTATTGGTGTAACACTGCTCCATGTTGTACGCTAGAGATCTTTGTCGTGTCACACTGACAAAATCATTTTCTTGCTTTCCTGATTCCATTGGTTGCATTTAATTCGGGAAAGTCCAATCGGCCTGACGCATCCATAAATTGAATATATAAAAAACCTATAAAGGTCATATACAATTCTAGTTACGTTACTATAGTTGACATTCTCATGTTGTTTCATATTGGCTGTACCCCGTCACACAGGAGAATCCTAGCACTTGTTATGATGTTATGATGATCTAATAATTCACAAATGAGGTAGATTTACCCTTCCAGAACTATTTGCAAA